ACAAATTGGCCTGCAGACAATTTGGCCAGGGGACAATTGGGCCATCGATCTACAAAAGTCTAACTAAATACTAACAACTTAAATTTAAACTAAACAGAAATGGGACACAATTCCCTGGAACTAATAGAACACGATAGAACAATTATATTTCTTTGTAACAATATGGCCATTAAAATCGGAAATTACGTCATCATCTACGGCAATAAATCGCTTTCCAGAATAATTATATATTCTCAATATAAAGAGTTATTGAGCAGCGTCTTTATTTTTCAAGAAATACATAATTCCAATATTGTTACGATTGGACAGACGTCATGAGAAATATTATCTAACTTCGTGACGTTTTTAGTCTGGAATTGTTCAAAAACTACCAATCCAAAGAGCCTGTCCTAAGAGAGATTTATAGTCAACGACTTAATAATTACGATCCTCAATCAAACCTATATAGAAGAAGATATTAATATAATAACTTATAATACTTTTAAAAACTCTATATACTACTTGACCCTTTTATTAGAAATTCTTTACTTTTTATATGGAGTTGCAGTAATCAGACATAACAAATTTTGTGGCATGAAATATATTCCGATCATTTTCGGTATCTCTGTAATTTTATTTGATTGAATAAAACTTTATAAATTTTTGATAAATTTGTTTCCAAGCTCCAAGCTCCAATATAAATATAATGTGTTTTTTACCCGTTTCCAAAATTACTTAGAATCCCAAAATATCTAATGTATTTTGCAATTAATAAAACTCCGATTTAACCTTTTATAGACAATTTTATTAAAAATTATATAATTGGGCGTTTAGTTGGATTTTTTTCCGTAATTAATATTTGTTCCTTGTCTTTAATTTATTTCTATAATAAAAAATATTACAAATTAACCAGAGGTATTACTTAGAACAAGATTTGAGAATATTAATAACCCGAAATATAGTTAGATAGAAATTATAGTCAAAGATGAAAAGAAGTAACATGTCCTATGATTTTCAGCAATATTTCGTGGGTACATCTCTCTAACCGTGTGCTGTAAGCTTTAATATTAGAGGCTCATATTTTAAAAAATACGGTCTGGGAGCTGCGTAATATACAGAACTTTTCTTTACTGTATAAGTCCAGCCGGTATTACGTAATTTTGACACATAATGAACATATTTTGAGTAGCGTCGCTATTGTTGCGGCCAATTCTTACGAGTATATTTTAAAAGCAGCAGAAGGTTTTTAATTAGGTAATAAAGATTCACCCATGCTCTTGCAATTCGATCAACAATCCTCATTTTTAACCTTTCAATTCAAGAGTTGTTTAGAACCAGTGGTTATTTTGAACGGAGGACAATTCACCCGTCAGAATTTTATGATTATTAGCAATTCTTCGGAGTTTATAGGTTAAAACGATGTTAAAGGTAAGCTTTATTGTTTTCGTGAATTAATTTATTTTATAATAATAACGGAGTTTCTAATCTAATAAAACGTTACCTACAACGTCGGCGTAGAGATTGAATCGTTTCAAAATCAAAATCGAAAATCGAATCGGTAAATCGATTTTTAAAACTATTAATCGGAAATTAAAAACGATTTTCGATTCCAGTTTTGAAAATAAAAAATGGGCAAAAATGTGTTAATTTTTTAAGTAGCAATAATTTATAAAAACAATTTTAGAACTTCATTTATAATATTTATTATTAGAAAATAAATGTTTAAAAAAAATCAAATTTTTGAACTCAGAATTAATTTCAGAACGTTGTTGATTTAACTCATGAATAATTGTTGTACAAAGCATATTGTTTGTTTACATTACGGATCATAGTCCGTAAGGTGATTTTGCGAAAATCGATTTATCATTAAACGATTTGCCGATTTTGAGATTCAAAATTGTTATTGCCGATTTCCGACTTTTGATTCCGAGCCCTACGTTGACGCTTTATACAATCAGGTACGTTTATTAATTATTATCGGAGTTATTACAATAAAATGTAAAAGGGAAAGAGAATAACGCGATGTTTTTATTATTGTGATTATCGGATGTTACAAAGATACAATTTAGAAAGAAAAATCACAGCGATATATATATATATATAAATATAGGATATTATTGTCCAGAAGACTGAATTGGCCAAAGAACATCAATGGCCAGGTGCATTTTTGACCACGAATTAATTATGGCCCAGTGAAAAATTTTGGCCAGTGGACAATATTAGCCCGGGGATGAATTTGGCCAAATGATCTACAACGAATTAACTAAATGCATTGTGGTAACGCTAATCAATAATTGTAATACATCGGCCAACTAGGTCGATCACACTAACCATATTAAGAAAAACAATACAGTAATTAGTATAAACATCTTTTTTATGTAATGATTTAATGCAAAACAGGTTTCCTGTTGTGAAACATTTGATATTATTTATATCGATAAAGTTTACTTATTTTGTCAATTCCCGATCTCTAAAGAATTATTTTATTTTTATTTTTTATACCACAGTTTGTCTTTTATTATCAACAGTATTATAAACAAACGTCTTTATTAACAGAATTAGACTGTCGATTTTTGAAACCTTTCAATTTATTGGACTTGAAATGCCCAAATTCAATTTATTTTTGAATAATTTGTGTTGTTATTATTTTTGTTATTATTAAAATGCAAAAATAGGTTTGCCAGTGGTGAAACAGTTGTAATCAATAAAGATTATTATAATTCAATTATTACTAATTTTGTCAATTTCCGGGTCGTTAACTAAAAAATTATATTAAACTTTAATTGTCCAATTTCAATATATTTAATGATTTTTTGATATATAAGTTGTTGTCATTCAAAAAATGCAAATAAGATCCCGTTGTTATTAATAGTGTGATCATTAAAGTCTATTATAACCTACTAATTTAGTAAAATCCCGACTGTTATCTAAATATTTATTTGTTGTTTTATTACTTAATTGGTTCAGAAACTAACATCTTCAACAATCAATATTGCTTAATAATTAATCAAATATGAAAGTATTGATCCAAATTTCTTATTTAATCTTCTAGATATTTTTCATTTATTCAAAAATTGATATCTTTGAAAATGGAAACAGAAAATTCGTTTGTGCTAAAAATCATTAGTAAATTACAAGACCCAGTACCTCAATATGTATTGGGCTGCCTACCGGCTATAGCAACGATAGGGGCTGCGCCATGGGAGGAATTTATGGACAAGTTAATTTGGTTAGCTCGATGTCTTGGTTGTCCCTTTACGGGATTATTTTACTCCTGCTGCATAAAGAGCGATAAGACAGCATCGTGCACGTATTGGCTTCCATCAGATTGTTTCATTACGAATAATGGGGCCAAAATTACATATAGACCTTTCGGTGCTCATGCCATGAATATCAGCCAGGTGGCACTTATGGATGCATGTGTCGCTAAAGCATCCGTATTAGAAAGGTTGTCGTCTCTGGTGTCATTTTACTATATAATAGTAGGTATTTTTTCGGGAATTGCCAGGGTGGCAGGACCGTCTGTCTGTGTGGATTGGCCATATATACCATTAGCATTATCCTGGACATTGCCAGCAATCTATAGGAGAACGTTTAGGAAAAACCTAGTAGTTAGGGATCCTAAAAATATATTAGACGGCGAAAAAATTATTGTAAGCAACCATGACCCAGTCGATATGTCTAACCAATTTGCTCGCGTTGCGTTCACTGCTCTATTTTCAATTGGAGTTCCTTGGATCACAGTGCTCCTAGCCTACTTCACGCCCCCAATTGGATTTTATTGTCGCAGTAAATATCTCACTGTCTTATGCTCCATATGGTCATTCAACAGCACTTTGGCACTTTTAAGCCACTTGAAAGGGGAAAAAAGCGCAGATGGTAATAGAGTTCTTCATGCTATTTTTTTCACTTGTGGAATTATAGTAGCATTTCTTTTGTTTGTTCTAGGATTATTGAGCAACCAAAGGTCGTGGTGGGTGAGCCTTTTCGGAAAATCTTGTGAAACTTCGGGCGCATGCCTAGTTGTTTCTTGAATTAAATGGACCTCTGAATCAATTGAGGGAGTGCTAATAATAATAATTTGAAATTGCAGTATGAAGCATTTATTTAATTTCATTACAAAATCTACTTATTATTTGCTTTAATTTATTATCAACTCCTAGGATAATGATTAAATTTAAATATGATATATTTAAAATTTTTAGATATAATTTAACATATTCACTTATTATATTTATTTCACGAGTCTGTTATATTATTCAATTTATTATTTATCTATAATTAAAGTTAGATAAAATTTGATATATTTTCAATGTAACATTTAAAAATATTTTTTACAAATAAATAAAAGTATAAAATACAAAAATACAAAAAATTCAAGTTAATAAGAGGCAATATACTGCATCACATGACGAAGCGATGTTGTTGATTCCCGTGAAAAAAAAATCCATATTAAAAGATTATTAATACCCTTAATTTTGGAATAGTTAAATATCTGTCTTTGAGATTTGCCTGGCAACATCGTAACACACAACTCATTCTCTCGCTCCTAGATTTGTGAGATTAATAATGTATTGTATATAACTTTAGTAAAAAATCTGAGGAGACTTTAACATTAAATTTACATCATAATCGTAACTTCCTTATAAAAATAAAAAAAATGACTTAATGATAATCGAAAAGAAAAAGTGAAAGGATAGGATATATCGATAAATATGAAAAATAAATTAGTGATATAATCAACTTGATACCTATATTCATGATATTTCTGTTGAATATTTTTTGGGGGGTGATCACCGTGAAAATCATGATATTCATGGATTTTACTCCCCTGGAAACTAACGACCATGATTTAAAAAAAGTTTATTTCACTATAGTTCTCCATACTTACTATGAAAGTAAATTAAACTTTTTTCATTATAAACCTTCCTTATTTTTTTTTTATTCCAAATTTTTAAATGAAGATATAAAATTGAAAAATGCCTAAACAACGCGTCAATAAATACAACAAAAATACTTCAAACATTTTTTTACCAGTGCAAATGCTTCACCTTTCTCACAAACTTTCTGAGGCTTCAATTTTTACTTTAACTCAAAATGAACCTATTTCTCTTGATATTTCAAATCTACTTAAAATTGGGTTGCACTATTTAAAAGAATAATTTCGCAGGAAATAATTTATAATAAAAAATCCTATTCTTAAATAAAATATTTTCTCATTAAATTACTTTATATATTAAATTTCAGAAATTTATTACAGTATATTTATGAACTATTTTATTTAAACTAAATATATATTTACAAAATGTTTATTTTTAAGTTATAGTATTAAGATAAAAATTAGAATTAAGAATTAGAGATTAACAATTAAAATGAGAAATTAGAAATTAAAATCTAAAAATTAGAAAGTAATTATAATTAGAAATTAGAGTTAAAAATAGGATTTTAGATTAGAATTTAGAATTAGGATTAATAATTATATTATGTATTTTCTGTATTTATATTTATGGTTTTGCTAAAAACTGGTTACAGAATAATTATAAGTTTTTAATGGTATGCTATTAAAATTAAGATACAAGGCATAGGAAATCATATGATCTATACCTCAATTTTAATAGCACACTATCCATATATTTGAATTATATTAATAAGAGTCAAATTTTATTCTATAAACTTTAATTATATGATAAGTTTTTTTACACTCAATTTTTCAATTTTAATAACATTTATCATAATATTAGGAATATTAAACAGTCTTAAACAGTCCTAAAAGTCCCAATAAATTGCCAGTTCTAGAGAAGATTTTTATTTTACTGGCACTATATTTTAATTTCTAATGATAATTTGTTAATTAAATATAAATTAAAAATATATATTAAACTTATGTGAGAATCCAGAATCTTAATTTTTGAAACTTAGGATCTGATCCTAAGGACTAGGTTCCACCTTGGCAGTCCCATATTAATTGTCGATTCCAAAGTTCATATTTTTTTATAAGTTATTCATAAAATTTATTATTACAATTATTTATCAAGGGTTACTTATTATAGATAAGCGATTAGACTTTTCTATAACTCGTAATTTCAATATTTGTTTACAATAATTTGGGACCATTTAACATCCCTACATAATATGTATTACCTATAATTATTTATTATTTAAATAAATATCATTTTTACTTTTTAAAACTTCTAAATTTTTTTCTCATTTAAAAAACTTTTAAATTTTACTTATTTGACCATAAAATTAAAACTAACTTTTTGCTAATCTTATAAAATAAAATCATGTAAAATTATGAACTTTTTAAAATAAAACATAATTTATGTATCTTGTCAAAATACTTAAACAATTATATTTTAAAATTATTTATCTTTACATGTAAAAATAAATTTATTATATATAAAAATTCAAATAGCAATCACTATAGCAAATAGAAATACATCTATTAATTAAGAATTTTACTATCAGATAGACAAAAATAATTATTTAATATTCTCAAATTTCCTATAGTTATTTAAAAAATTAGTTTTTTTATTTTTGTAATTTAAGAATTACATTATTTAATAATAATAATAAACTGCAATAATTATTATTACAACTATTAAATCTATCATAAAAAAATCAATCTTCCATCATATAATATTCTAAAACTATTATATTCTAATATTTTAATAATTTAAAAAACTTTAAAAGTCTTTAAAAGACATGAAAACTTCTTATTAGTTTAGTAAAAATCAAAAATTAAAACTTAAAAATATAAACATTATTTTAATCAGATGATATAAAATCATTTAATGTATTGATCAAATTATCATCCTAAAAGAATGATATATTATCATTTGATAAAAACAATATTATATAGATAATTCAAAATCATATCATTTAATTGTAATATCCCAAGCATCATTCCAAAGGAACAATACATTATTATTTGATAAAAATGATAAAAAAAATTATTCTAATTAGATAATACAAAATTATTCAATTGATTAGAATGATATTAATGAATAATGATTAAATTTTAGATTTATAAAAATTTTTATAATCATATTTTAATATAATGAGGTTAGAATCTGAGTTGATCAGACCGTCATTATAAAAAAATTTATTTTATTATAATGAATTATTCGAATTATTCAGTGTAATAGATGCTTATTGAAAAAGAAAAATATAAACATAATTTTACTAAGATATAATTGAAGTTAATTTTGTTAATTTTATAATATTATTTTATAAAATAATTCTTTAAAGTTAAATTAAAGTGATCTTAAGTAATTTTGGTAATGCAAAAATTAAAATTAATTTCAAATGAAACAATTTATAACAATATCTATAAATTTATTTTTAAAATATTTATTATTTATAATAATTGAATATAAAAAAGAATAGTTTTATTTTAATATAAAACTGAGATCTATTTATTAAATAAAAAAAAGTAAGAAAATTTATTAATGATTAAAAATGGTTCTCATAATTATTTTTAAAAATTTTAACTAGATCAAGTTGCCTTATAAGAAATCAAAATAAGAAAATAATACATTTTTTATAAGGTTTGTATATGTAATTAATGATTCTATATCAAAATTCCATATGTTTTATAATAATTTGGTTTTTTATAATTTTTTAAAAATTAATGTATACAGAATTATTAAGAAATTTAAAATAACGTATAAATTTTATATAAAATAAAAAAATAAAAAATAACAATATTCAAACCAAAAAAAAATTTTTTTTCTTGTATTTTTTAATGTATAGAT